CAGGAACCCCACCACCACCCCTCCTTCAGGAACCCCACCACCACCCCTCCTTCAGGAACCCCACCACCATCCCTCCTTCAGGAACCCCACCACCACCCTCCTTCAGGAACCCCACCACCACCCCTCCTTCAGGAACCCCACCACCATCCCTCCTTCAGGAACCCCACCACCACCCCTCCTTCAGGAACCCCACCACCACCCCTCCTTCAGGAACCCCACCACCATCCCTCCTTCAGGAACCCCACTACCACCCCTTCTTCAAGAACCCCACCACCACCCCTCCTTCAGGAACCCCACCACCACCCCTCCTTCAGGAACCCCACCACCACCCCTCCTTCAGGAACCCCACCACCATCCGTCCTTCAGGAACCCCACCACCACCCCTCCTTCAGGAACCCCTCCATCGTACCACTAACATCAATGAGCTTTCTCGGTAACTGACGTAGCTTAGAGAGGTGAATGATAGGAAAGAGGGAGGGAAGTGGGAAGGTGATGCAGATGGAGTAGTAAGGGAGAGAGGGAGGTGCGGGAGAGAGGAAAGAGAGGGAGAGACTGAGGTGAGGGAGCAGAGGGAGGTAAGAGAAAGATAGCAGATAGAGATGCTTTACTGAACTATATCTAGATAGCACGGCACGCGCCTCATAGATAAGATGAGAGGCACTTCTGCTCCCCCTCACACAAACACACACATACACATACACACACACACACACACAAGGACAAATGCCTATCTACATGTGCCTAACACACGTGTACATCAGTGACATGATGGAAATACTAACCCTATTCGCAGATGATGTCAAACTACTGAGGAGAGTACAAACAGGTGAGAACCATGAAATACCACAAATTGACCATGACAGGCTGCAGGTCTGGTCTGACAAGTGGCTACTACAATTTAACAACAACAATTGAAAAGTTATGAAGCTTGAAGGTGGGACAACCATGACTGCAGACGGAATACAGGCTTTGAGAGACAAAGGCTGCAAACCTCATTCAAGGAGAGGCACCTTGGGTAATCATGGCACCGAGCATATCACTTGAGGCGCACATCAACTGAATACCTGCCGCAGCAAAGGCGAGTCTGGCAAATCTATCAATAGTTTTCACGAAGCTCGGTTGGTAACGCACTCAGCTCACACACTGAGGTCCCCGGTAAAGGCTGAATCATTGGGACGTGTTTCCTTAAGACACCTGATGTTCCTGTTCACCTAGCAGTAAATAAGTATCTGGGTGTTAGTCGAATAGTGTAGGTCTCATGCTGGGGAAAAAATTAACCTAAGCTGCACTATATGTTCTGCATAAGCAGGGGCTATATAGTAATATGTCACTGATGTCAGCTATGGTCTGTAATAGTTGTATCATGCATTTGTAGAAATAAATGTTATTGTTATTACTATTATTATTATTGTTATTATTTTAACCTAAGGAAAGACAATATATATAGCATATTTTAGGCCCATATTGGGGTATGGAATCACACCTCATCAAACACGTCAAGAAGCGGGAAAAAAAGTTGAAAGGTATGTATACAACGAGACTACTGGAGCTCAGAGGTACGAGCTATGATGAGAAGCTCAAGGAGCTAAACCTGACGACACTAGAGGACAAAAGATCCAGAGGTGACGTGATTGTGATATACATCTGTTAACAAGGATACGTTGTTGGAGAGAGGAAACAGTAACACAAGGGCACATAGATGTTAGACAGGATTTCTTCAAACTTAAAAGGTGGTCAGGTAGTGGAACAACCTGCACAGAGAAGTGATAGGGGCAGGATCCATTCATAACTTTAAGACAAGGTACAATAAGTACAGGTACACACATACACACCTGATTAACCATATTTGAAAACCAAACAAGGTAAGCATGAAGATCATGAAGACAATACAGTTATTGAAGAACCAGGTCAAATAAGCAGTTTGCAAGTATAGGACTGATTGGATACGATCCTAGGAATTAGAAACAGAAAGAGCGCCAACCCTGATCTTTTAGGCACCCCACTTTTCAGGTACCCCTTAGAGTGACAGTGTGGACAGTTTCGTGGGAGTGCTGGCGTGTGACGAGGGTGGTGGGCGTGGTGGGAGTGCGGGCAGGAGGGCGTGGAAGAGGTTATCAGCGGCTAGGCTCTATCTCTCCGCCTCCCTCGTGGTATCTCACTGATTATCACTGCTACGCCAGTCTCTCAAGTACTGTTGATACTGCCCCTTCCTAATCACCCACACCTTCCTACACCTGTCCTACATCTACCCACAGCTGTCCTGTACCTGCCTACGCCACTGCAACACCTACCTTATTCACCCAACCCTGCCTTATACCTGTCCAACACCAGTGCTATACCTGCCCAACACCAGTGCTACACCTGCCCAACAACAAACCTACACCTGCCCAACACCAGTGCTACACCTGAACAACACCAGTTCTACACCTATCCAACATCTGTCCCAAACACATGCCCCCCCCACCCCAACACTAGCCTCACATATTTCCTCCACTGTTCACAGAAGTTTTACACTCGTTACACTCGTTACCCCTGTTCCATTCTCCACACCCGTAACACTTTAACGAATGCAAATGATTTTATCACGATACTGTAGAGATGCAACTGTCAACGAACACACACACACACACACACACACACACACACACACACACACCACTAACAATATCAACCTTCTCTAGGATACGCGAGTTTTTGAAAGTTTGAAGTCGATCTTAAGAGGTGTTCTAAAGTCATCACTTTTAAACCAAGTTTGGACATGGGCTATAATATATCAGGAAACACTTGTCCTGTTTCCTGACGAACCTAACGTAACGTAACGTAACCTAACCTAACCTAACGTAACCTAACCTAACCTAACGTAACGTAAAGTAACCTAACCTAACGTAACGTAACCTAACGTAACGTAACCTAACGTAACGTAACCTAACGTAACGTAACCTAACGTAACCTAACCTAACTTAACCTAACCTAACCTAACGTAACGTAACTTAACGTAACTTAACCTAACATCAACTCAAGCAGTTACGTTTAATGCTTCACAAGACTCGTGAAAAAATAAAAAAAAAAAAAAGTTATATAAAAATGAACGAAATAAAAAAAAGTGTTAATTTTCTTGTCTGCAGTTTTATTGTAACCAAACCTGTACGGGGGAAACACGTGCTGTTTTGTACGTTTTTAAGACACTCCAATTCGATATACTTATATATATATATATATATATATATATATATATATATATATATATATATATATATATATATATATATATATAATATATATATATATATATCATATATATATATATATATATATATATCATATATATATATATATATATATATATCATATATATATATATATATATATATATATATATATATAATATATATATATATATATATATATATATATATATAGACAAATTAGGGCCTAAGAGTTTGAAGCCTACCATAAGAGTCGTTCTCTAGTCAGTACACAAAAAACATATGTCTAATAAAATTGGCAAAGATCTCAAAGTGAAAGGCAAGCTTTGTTATAATTATTAAAGCCAACCAAGTTTGAAGCCTACCAGAAGAAGCATTCTGCAGCAACTGATCTGAATCCAACCATTCCACATTTTTTTAACAATTTCAGTAAAATTTCAAAAACTTCAGCTACAGAGGATAAACTTGGAATACATCAGTGTTAATGGTTTGAAGACGATAAGACGATACATTCTTTAGTTACAAAATGGAAATCACTGTCACTATCGATTTGATAAAACTGGCAAAGTGTTACTGAAGCAACCCAGTAACAATGCCAGGGATGAAGATTTGAAGCCGATCTGCAGCAGCATTCTCCAGTTATCACACAGATTCCAGTCATTCCAATTACCATTTTTAACCAAATTAATATATTGGAAAATTCCCCCCCCCCCACACACACACACATGATGGTCACTGTCCTGGCAGTAAGATGCAGCAGCTGTGTAAAAATTAAAGTCTCTCAGAAAGTCAGACTCAAATTTATTTAACGTGATTTAAGAGAAATAAAAATTTCTCATTATATGACACTTAAAATAACCAGGGAGCAGGTGGAGTTTGAACCCAAGGCGAGCGAGTCGTAAAACTCCAGTCCGGTGCGTTAACCACTAGGCCAGATGGCTACAATAAGAGTCACCCAACTAGGTAAATTTATACACCATGGGGAGGTTAGCATGAGCCACCACTGTGACAATAAATGTAACTGGATGATGTGCGTCTAATCCAATTTCCACTCTCCGCTGTTCTCCAGTTAGGATTTATTATAATCCTAAGCGCTAAACCCATAAGGGTCATACAGAGCCGTCCTCGAGTCAGGAGGCAGCACCCCCTCAAGGAAGGCTCCTTGATGTTGGTGAGGGGCTCTTGATTTAGGGAATTGGATCTGTGCTCCAGTTCCCCGAATTAAGCCTGAATGCCTTCCCCCCCCCCCAGGCGCTGTATAATCCTCCGGGTTTAGCGCTTCCCCCTTGATTATAATAATAATAATCTCCGGGACATTTGAAGCTGAACTGCGGAGGTTGTCGGAGGTTATCGTACTCATTCCAGGATGTTGGGAATGGTTGTTACAACTCTGGTCGTGTGGGCAGGCTGCGCGCGTGCCAGTCGTTCCAAGAATTTTGGATTAGTTACTATACACCAACATCGGAAGTTTAAAGCCGATCGGATGAGCCTTTCTCGTGTTATGAGCGAATTAAAAACGAAACTTTAAGAAAAAAAAGTTCAGGCAACCATTTAAAAATCCCCTTCATGGATGCCAAATAATAATAATAATAACAACAACAACAACAACGCATCTCTAACATACACAACATATTCACCCAACATCTTGGAGACGTCAGCATAATGTAAGTCAGGATTCTCATCCCAACACTTCTCCACCACACCAACAAAATCACCCAACAATCCTCCACCACACCAACATACTCACCCAACACACCAGCATATATAACATACTCAAATACACAACATACTCACCCAACATTTTGGAGAGGTCAGCATTGTGTAAGTCAGGGTTCTCATCGGCCAGTTTCTTACGTTCCACTTTAGCCCAGACCATGAAGGCGTTCATGGGTCTTCTGATACGTTGTTCCCTACGAGCCTTGTCCCCTCCGGCCCCTCTGGGAGGGCCCCCACCCTCCCAGCGGCCGCCCCCACCTGGGTAGGGCTGATGGTGGGGTAGGAGGGGAGGGGCATGCACCCCACCATACATGAGGGCCCCTCCATGGTGCCCAGAACGTAGTGGGGCCCCACCTCCGTGGTAGTGCTGAAAGAGAGGCCCAGCTAGGGCCCCTCCGGGGTAGGAGCCCCCCATGAAGCCGCCCCCGTGGCGGGCGTAATGGGGCACGCTGCCCTCCGGCAGGTGGGCGGACATGGAGGTGGGCGTGAGGTTGTCGTTGTAGTCGAGGTGGGCGTGGGTGGGAGAGGAGGCAGCGACCCCGACAGAGGGCAGGGTGAAGCTGCTCAACGTACACTCTCCTGTAGAAGAGACAAATGTAACTTACATCTCACGAAGAAATACAACAACACTACAACAGGAGAAAAACACAAATACATTCAAAGACAAATATATTTGGTCGAGCGACCATAATCACTTGAGATACATGGGAAGTGTAGGTGACAACGAGAGATACATGGGAAGTGTAGGTGACAACGAGAGATACATGGGAAGTGTAGGTGACAACGAGAGATACATGGGAAGTGTAGGTGACAACGAGAGATACATGGGAAGTGTAGGTGACAACGAGAGATACATGGGAAGTGTAGATGACAACGAGAGATACATGGGAAGTGTAGGTGACAACGAGAGATACATGTTGGGAAGATGTCTTAAATGACATGGATCCAAACCAGTGCCTTGAAAGGATCAACTTCCTGGTAGCCGAAGCATGTTCTAGGCATATTCCCCTAAGAAAGAAGAAGAGCAGGAGTAAACTGGAGAGAAAAAGACGCTCTCTCTACAGAAGACGACGAAGAGTCACTGAGCTCCTCAGGAGTGCTAGAATATCTGATACACGAAAGGAGGCGCTGACCAGGGAAGTGGAAACTATCGAACTTAAGCTAAATGACTCTTACAGGAACCAGGAGAGGCAGGAGGAGCTTAAAGCTATTAGTGAAATTGAAGGAAATTCAAAATATTTCTTTTCATATGCCAAAAACAAGGCAAATACCACATCTAGTATCGGGCCCTTACTCAGACAGGATGGGACTTACACAGATGACAACAAGGAAATGAGTGAAATATTGAAATCCCAGTACGACTCTGTGTTTAGTGAACCACTAATCGGTCTGAGGATCGACGACCCAAATGATTTCTTCATGAATGAGCCTCAAAACTCCATAAATGTATGCCAGATTTCCGACATTACCCTAACTCCGATAGATTTCGAAAAAGCCATTGACAACATGCCTATGCACTCAGCCCCGGGCCCAGACTCGTGGAACTCTGTTTTCATTAAGAACTGCAAGAAACCCCTCTCGCGTGCCCTAAGTACACTATGGAGGAGCAGCTTGGACATGGGTGAAATTCCACAGTCACTTAAAACAACGGATATAGCCCCACTCCATAAAGGTGGCAGCAAAGCATTAGCTAAGAACTATAGACCAATAGCTCTGACGTCCCACATCATAAAAATCTTTGAAAGAGTGCTAAGAAGCAGGATTGCAAATCACCTGGATTCCCAAAATCTGCACAATCCAGGGCAACATGGGTTCAGGGCAGGTCGCTCCTGCCTCTCACAACTACTGGATCACTATGACATGGCCTTGGATGCACTGGAAGAAAATCAGAATGCAGATGTAATATACACAGACTTTGCAAAAGCATTTGACAAATGCGATCATGGCGTAATAGCCCATAAAATACGTGCTAAAGGAATAACTGGGAAAGTGGGGAGATGGATCTTCAACTTCCTAACAAATCGAACACAAAGAGTAGTGGTCAACAGAGTTAAATCGGAGGCTGCCATAGTGAAGAGCTCTGTTCCACAAGGCACAGTACTCGCCCCCATCTTATTCCTTATCCTCATATCAGACATAAACAGAGATATACACCACAGCACCGTATCATCCTTTGCGGATGATACTAGGATCTGCATGAGGCTGTCATCTGCTGAGGACGCGGTTAACCTCCAAGAAGATATAAACAAAGTTTTCCAGTGGGCAACGGTAAACAATATGATGTTCAATGAGGACAAATTCCAACTACTCCGTTATGGAAAACTGGAGGAGATAATAACTAGAACAGAGTATACTACTGACTCCGGCCATACAATAGAGCGGAAAAATAATGTAAGGGACCTGGGAGTAGTAATGTCTGAGGATCTCACTTTCAAGGATCACAACAGTGCCACGATCGCACGTGCAAAGAAAATGATAGGATGGATAATGAGAACTTTCAAAACGAGAGATGCCAAGCCCATGATGATCCTTTTCAAATCACTTGTTCTCTCTAGGCTGGAATACTGCTGTACATTAACATCTCCATTCAAAGCAGGTGAAATCGCAGATCTGGAGAGTGTACAGAGATCCTTTACTGCACGTATAAGTTCTGTCAAGCACCTAAACTACTGGGAACGCTTGGAAGCACTTGACTTGTACTCGTTGGAACGCAGGAGGGAGAGATATATCATAATCTACACTTGGAAAATCTTGGAAGGAATGGTCCCAAATCTGCACACAGAAATCACTCCCTACGAAAGTAAAAGACTGGGCAGGCGATGCAAAATGCCCCCAATAAAAAGTAGGGGCCCCATTGGTACACTAAGAGAAAACACCATAAGTGTCCGGGGCCCAAAACTGTTCAACAGCCTCCCATCAAGCATTAGGGGAATTGCCAATAAACCCCTGGCTGCCTTCAAGAGAGAGCTGGACAGATACCTAAAGTCAGTGCCGGATCAGCCGGGCTGTGGCTCGTACGTTGGACTGCGTGCGGCCAGCAGTAACAGCCTAGTTGATCAGGCCCTGATCCATCGGGAGGCCTGGTCATGGACCGGGCCGCGGGGGCGTTGATCCCCGGAATAACCTCCAGGTAACCTCCAGGTATGGGAAGTGTAGGTGACAACGAGAGATACATGGGAAGTGTAGGTGACAACGAGAGATACATGGGAAGTGTAGGTGACAACGAGAGATACATGGGAAGTTGTAGGTGACAACGAGGGATACATGGGAAGTGTAGGTAACAACGAGAGATACATGGGAAGTGTAGGTGACAACGAGAGATACATGGAAGTGTAGGTAACAACGAGAGATACATGGGAAGTGTAGGTGACAACGAGAGATACATGGGAAGTGTAGGTAACAACGAGAGATACATGGGAAGTGTAGGTGACAACGAGAGATACATGGGAAGTGTAGGTGACAACGAGAGATACATTATTATTGTCAAAACTGCTTTTTATGAAACAAGATTCAATTATATTCCTGTCGACCATGGACTTGCTTGATACTACTTTCTCAACTTTTTGAAAATCAATTGGATGGTTAAAATCTCTTACATGAATAAATAGAGCATTGGAATCTTGTCCAGTTCTAATGCTATATTTATGTTGTTTTAATCTTAGTTCGATTTTTTTACCAGTTTGACCGTAATAAACTTTATCGCAAATTTTACAAGGAATCTTATAGACACATCCATCAGCATTTTGGGGGGAATTCTTTATCAAAAGTTTTTTTTACTGTATCAAGATTTTTGAATACAACTTTAATATTAAAAGTCTTAAGAAGAGAAGGCATATCAACCAAGTTTTCATGGTAAGGGAGAACCAACATATTTTTAGTTGAATAAGGCTGGTTGCCCCTTTTTGGATTATAAAAAGTGTTTCTAGCAACTTTAAAAGATTTATCAATTACATTTCTTGGGTATTTTAAATCATTACCTATTTGGTTCTCCCTTACCATGAAAACTTGGTTGATATGCCTTCTCTTCTTAAGACTTTTAATATTAAAGTTGTATTCAAAAATCTTGATACATTAAAAAAACTTTTGATAAAGAATTCCCCCCAAAATGCTGATGGATGTGTCTATAAGATTCCTTGTAAAATTTGCGATAAGGTTTATTACGGTCAAACTGGTAAAAATCTCGAACTAAGATTAAAACAACATAAATATAGCATTAGAACTGGACAAGATTCCAATGCTCTATTTATTCATGTAAGAGATTTTAACCATCCAATTGATTTTCAAAAAGTTGAGAAAGTAGTATCAAGCAAGTCCATGGTCGACAGGAATATAATTGAATCTTGTTTCATAAAAAGCAGTTTTGACAATAATATGAATATTTCCTTTGGTTTATATAAATTAGATCCTTTTATAATTAATAGAATTTGGGAAGAATTTAATAATACACTGGACAAATAATTTTTTAATTTTCTTGGGTAGAATAGCTTGGGGGTGAGTTTTGCAAAGGACCTATCCAAGTTGGGTCGCCGCGCGCCACGTGTTTAACCGTTGTGGGATCTGATAGTGAGGTGCTGGCCGGACCCCTTATATAGCTTCCTTGGATGCTTCACTTTCATAGTTCCTTGATAATGTGAGTAGTCACGAAAGCGCTTGGAATTTCTCTATTCTTTCAGAGTGGTTGTTTTGCATATTTTGAAATCACCTGTTCACTGTGATCTTATTGCATATATATATATATATATATATATATATATATATATATATATATATATATGTCGTGCCGAATAGGCAGAACTTGCGATCTTGGCTTAAATAGCAACGCTCATCTTGCCATATAGGACAAGTGAAAATTTGTGTATGCAATAATTTCGCCAAAATCATTCTGAACCTAACGAAAAATATATATTTCACTGTGTTTGTTTAGTATTAAATTATTGTAAACAAATCTAAAATATATTTAGTTGGGTTAGGCTAAAATAAATTGTTCTTGTTATAATAAGGTTAGGTAAGTTTTCTAAGATTCTTTTGGTGCAAAATTAAAATTTTTTACATTAACATTAATGAAAAAAATATGTCTTTAAACGTATAAGTGAAAATTTTAGAAATGACTTAATTTTAAATGAGTTCTTGCTAATTGACCAGTTTTACATATTCGGCACGACATATATATATATATATATATATATATATATATATATATATATATATATATGAAGTGTGAGAGTCATCGAGTGACCTGAAGAAATGAGAATTTTGTGATGGCGTGAAGCAGCCGGCGAGGTCACGTGATTCCCGTGTTGTGAGGTGGATGGGACTTTACCTGGACGAGGTTCACGCATGACGGTGTTTTTGATATGTTGTAGCTTACAGTCCTGTGCTCAACAGTGTTGGCGACGGTGAACAATGAAGCTTCAAAGTACTTTCGACGTCTAAGATCGGGTTCAGTGAGGACAAGTGACTAATTCATCAGTGAGAACACAGACGTTCAGTCATGTAGTTGATGCAGGCGCCTCGATGTTCACTTTCGTGGAGAGACTTCTGCCTGTCTTCCCTACATATTTCCTGGAACTGTGTCCGCA